TTATGCCCAAAATGTAAAAAAGGGAGGCACTGGGCGAATGAGTGCAGGTCTGTTAGGGACATTAACGGTCATGTCATCCCATATATGTCAATGCCAAAAAACAGGCCCCAAGCCTCAGGGCCCACAAATATATGGGGCCATGGAGAACTCAACAACAGAAAATCCCAATCTGAGGGAGACGAGCCTAGAACAGTGGCCGACCTTCCGGCACCCCAAAAACCTCGCAGGGCCACTGCAGGTGCCGCGGAACTGGACCTCTGTTCCGCCTCCGGACTCGTACTGACCCCTCAAATGGGGGTACAATTAATAGAATCAGACCTCCAAGGACCCTTGAACCCAGGCACAGTGGGTCTCCTCCTGGGAAGATCATCCACTATTTTAAAGGGTCTTAAGGTACATCCTGGGGTAATCGACCCTGACTATAATGGTACAATAAAGATAATGGTAGAATCACCTAGAGGGGTAGTAGCTATCTCCCCGGGAGACAGGATTGCCCAGCTTCTGCTTCTGCCCAGCCAACATGAGCTGTTTCCAGCACGGTCTAATGAAAGAGGAAAGGAATGTTGTGGCTCTACAGGAACAGATCTGACTGTTTTGTCCTTGGAATTAAATCAAAGACCAGTCCTAACACTTAATGTGGATGGAAAAAGGATTCTTGGCCTGCTAGACACGGGGACAGACAAAAGCATTATAGCAAAAAAGGACTGGCCATCGGGTTGGCCTATACAGGCCTCCTCTCAAACCTTACGGGGGCTAGGGTATGTTAAGGCTCCGGATGTGAGTGCTAGACACCTACAGTGGAAAGATGAGGAGGGTCATTCCGGAACTATGCAGCCCTATGTCCTGGATCTTCCCGTCTCCTTGTGGGGGAGGGACTTGCTCAATGATATGGGCTTTAAGCTAAGCAATAAATTTTCAGCCGCCTCTCAACAAATGATGAGGGACATGGGATGCCATCCAAGTTTCGGGCTAGGAAAACATTTACAAGGAAATAGGGGGCCCGTTCAAGCACACCAGAGATACCTGAGGCAAGGGTTGGGTTTTTCCTAGGGGCCGCTGAGGGAGGTATTCCCATTACATGGAAGACGGAGGAGCCTATATGGGTTCCTCAGTGGCCACTTTCCTCCGAGAAATTGAGTGCAGCAAAAACCTTAGTCGCTGAACAGCTTGCCTTGGGACACATAAAGCCATCCCTGTCGCCATGGAATACGCCCATCTTTGTCATTAAAAAAATCAGGAAAATGGCGCCTCTTACAGGACTTGAGAGCCATAAATAGCCAAATGCAAGCAATGGGCCCTGTACAGCGAGGGCTGCCGTTACTTTCTGCCTTACCGGCGTCTTGGCATGTTATTGCAATAGATATAAAAGATTGTTTTTTCTCTATCCCTCTCCATACGGAGGATTGTAAACGATTTGCCTTTACTGTCCCATCTTTAAATCATGAAGAGCCCGATCAGAGATTTGAATGGGTTGTGTTGCCCCAGGGAATGGCCAATAGCCCCACTATGTGTCAGCTCTATGTAGGACAGACCATTGAGCCATTAAGAAGGGAATTCCCCATCCTAAGATGTTTTCATTATATGGATGATGTGCTGTTAGCTGCCAAGGAAGAAAAATTTTTAGAAAAGGCATTTATTAGATTGATGTTTTTATTGGAGAATAAGGGACTGCTTGTGGCTCCCGAAAAGATTCAAAAAGGAAAAATGGTGAATTATTTGGGCACAAAGATTATCGGAGATCATATTATTCCACAAAAATTAGAGTTAAGAAAAGATAATTTAAAAACCTTAAATGATTTTCAAAAGTTGCTAGGAGAAATAAAATGGATTAGGTGTTTTATTAAGTTCCCTAATTATGATTTAAAGCCCTTGAATGATCTCTTAAATGGAGATCCAGCCTTGGATTCCCCCAGACAGTTAACCCCTGAAGCAAGGCTCACCCTACGTAGGGTGGAAGAGAGGCTACAAGATGCCTTCCTACAAAGATGCAAGGAGGGACATCCCATCTTTGTATGTATACTTCCCACATATTATCAGCCTACGGGCTTGCTTTGGCAGGATGGACCTTTATTGTGGATTTATCCACGCATATCCCCTGCTAAATCTATTGAGTATTATCCCACCGTGGTGGCAAGATTGGCTCAAAATGGCATCCAACAATGCTTACAACATTTTGGCATAGCCCCAAAAGTGATCACTGTGCCCTACACCAATGATCAAATTCATGTCCTTTGCACCACTATTGATGATTGGGCCATTTTAAGGTGTGGGTTTAAAGGGGATATAGATAATCATTATCCAAAACATCCATTAATAGGATTTTTTAAGGAGCACCCGGTAGTCTTTCCAAAAATAACTTCCAATGCTCCAATCCCAGGTGCCCCCAATGTATTCACAGATGGCTCAAAAACAGGATGTGGTACCTATATGGTGGGCCCGTTCAGATACAGTTTCAACCCGGCTCGCCCCAATTAGTAGAACTAGAGATTGTTGTTAAGGTTTTTGAAAATTGTTCTTTTGCCTTTAATCTTCTTTCAGATTCTGCCTATGTGGTTAATGCTATAAAGGTACTGGAAGCTGCCGGCCCTATTAGGTCCAGCAGTCCGGTCTGCACCCTGTTTCAAAGGCTTCAAATTTTGATCTGGCACCGAAAGTGTTGTTTTTTCATACAGCATGTCAGAGCACATACGGGCCTCCCGGGCCCCATAAGTGAGGGCAATAATAAAGTTGATCAATGGACCAGAATGGAGTATATATTCCTTTGTTCCACCCTGGATAGAGCCAGAGATTTTCATAAAAATTTTCATGTAAATGCCAAAACCTTACAACAGAAGTTTCATCTCTCCCGGGCTGATGCACGACAAGTCATCTTGGATTGTGCTCAATGTGCCGTCCATCATCATCCGCCCTGTCTCGGAGTCAATCCTAGAGGATTGCTCCCCTTAAAGGTTTGGCAAATGGATGTTACTCATGTTGCCGGATTTGGCAGTCTAAAATATGTCCATGTATCTGTTGATACCTGCTCTGGAATTATCCATGCCACCCCTCTATCAGGCGAAAAGGCTCGCAATGTTGTCACCCATTGCCTGGAGGCTTGGGCAGCCTGGGGAAAACCCAGGCAGCTGAAAACTGATAATGGGCCGGCTTATACAGCTCAGTCCTTTGCCTCCTTTTGCAAACAAATGGAGGTTCAACTGCTTCATGGATTGCCATATAATCCACAAGGTCAGGGCATAATAGAACGTGCCCATCGCACTCTAAAAGAATGTCTAAATAAACAAAAAGGGGGAATAGGCTATGGCCGCACCCCAAAAGAGAGGCTTTCTCTCGCCCTATTTACTATAAATTTTTAAAATTTGGATGCTCAAGGTCGCTCTGCAGCTGACAGGCATCAAGAACCCCATGGTCCAAGCAAAGGCTTGGTAAAATGGAAGGACATCTTGACTGGCACATGGCATGGGCCTGATCCCGTGCTGACTTGGGCACGAGGTTCTGTTTGTGTTTTTCCACAGGACCAACAAGACCCCGTGTGGGTTCCAGAACGACTGGTGAGGAAGGCACAGACACCGCTGGATCCGAATGATGCAAATGCCACTCAGGCCGCTCACCCCATGCTTTCCAATGATGATGATGATAACGACAATGGCGGTGGCGGAGCCTCGCTGGGGGATTCTATCGACCTTTCCAATGCTGGTGCTGGTCCGCCATAATGCGCAAGTTTTCCCTTGGTTGTTTAACCTGCCCTCCCTTCCTTTAGATACCCAGGCATCCCCTATAGGGAAAAACCGGACTTTTCCTGAAAAGGAAAGTTTGTGTTTTACATTTTGACCAGCAGCTCCTGCATTAAGTTAGCCTGCCATACTGCAGGATGGTTTTTTCATAAAGATAAATATCAATCCGGACAGAGTCAAAGTTGTAATTCCACCACCTGCCGGACGCATCTTATCACAAATTACTCTACCAATGTGGCCTGGATTAATGGTTCATGGCCAGTAGTAGCAAAGAGGAGTAATGATACCCCTCCTACTCAACCAAGGTGGGCACCCCGATGCTGGGGCCACTTTGAGGGGGAGGCCTGGCCCTGGACAGGATGCCAGGCCGCCCAAGTGAATTGGACAAATGAAGATAAACTATTCACCTTTTCCCCAGATATGGTAGGGAAGAATAAAGGTCTTTTAAATATCCCAGTCTTTGTGTTACCAGCGTACAGTTTGAAAATTATATACGTGCTGCTAATTTGTCTAAACTTTCCAGTTATCTTCTAGGTAATTGGTCAGGGGAATTTGAAAAGGAACTCGACCAACTGCGCGCAGCCATAGTGACAGTGAACTCCACCCAAGTCGATTCCAGCATCGCAGAAGGATTGTCCTCCTGGATCAGGGCCACCATGGATCACTTAAAGGAGTGGGCGGGGATAGGGTCCCTACTTGGCCTGATGGCCATAGCCTCCCTGGTATGCCTGTGGTGCTTCTGTAATGCTCAGTCTAATCAGCACTGTAATGCAATGATGGTCATGCAAGCATTCGCTACCATTGAAGAAGGTCAGTCCCCCTCAGCCTGGCTGGCTACCTTTAAAAACTAATTTTCTCCGGTCGGGGTGCAAGGCTAAGCACTGCACGAGGGTTTGCTTGTAAGCAGTTAAGCTACCCTCGGAAGACAAGCCCGATTGCAGGAAGGTTGTACCCAAGATCCTTCCCCTGGGAAAACAGGTACAGGATGGGTCAGGGTCACCACAGGCGTAGAGTCTGTAGGTGTCACCTGTACATTATCCCAGCTTTGCACACCAGGGATCAGGCCTCTATCTTCACCCACCTTTGTTATATAAAAACAAAACGGGGGAACTGTGGAGAGCTGCGCCACACCGCGCCTCAAAGATGGCGCCGGCTTCCGCATTCCACCATCCCGACGGTGAGTGCGCTCGGAAATAAACAACTCCTTATTTGGCCTGCTCCCATCCCGCCGGGGTCACGCCGTCATCATCAGATTGCTTATGCATTCTGATGAGCCTATGGCTTGCACACACGTGGCTGCTCAGGGTTGGCTGGCCTCGGCTATTTAGGGAGCAGGAGGGGTTTTTCCCGTGGCTGCCTCTACGTTGTTTCAAGGTTCCTGAATAAACCGCTGATGAGAAGGATTCCTGAGTCGCGTCTTCCTTGCAGGTCGAGGTGGTCGTGACAGGGAGGAGGGTTGAGATTAAGGCTTCAGATGCAGGTTCAGAGTCCTAAACAGAGGCAATGGATTAAGGGGATTAGGACACACTAGAACAGACTGCTACTCTGAGGAGGATGGATGAGGGGAGTGCAGAGGTGAGCAATGATCCACCTTCATATGCACTGAGAACCCAAGAATAGTACCTTATTTAGGAGGAGAGGTTTGCAGTAGTGATTTGTCAAGTTAAAATCAAATAATACTGGTTTAGAGTGGGTCCTAATCTAGTGACTACTGTTATAATAAGAGAACACACACATACAGAGAGAGAGAGAGAGAGAGAGAGAGAGAGAGAGAGAGAGAGAGAGAGAGAGAGAGAGAGAGAGAGAGATGAGAACACAGAGGCAGGCACTGGAATTCCGGATTTCCTAAAACAACCAGGAGATAGAAAAAGGCAAAGAAATGTCCTGCATGCTTCCTGTAGAGTGAGGCCTTGCCCACCCATTGTCTCAGACATCTAGCCCTCAGAATCATGAGATGATGTGTAGCTGATGTTGTCAGCCACATGGCTTGTGGCAGTCCTCAGAAATGTTGGAATCTGACAGTTAGGGGAAGCATGGGAGAGGATCCAAGAAAGAGGTCAGGGGGAACAGCTCAGAAGGGAAGGATGGAGTTGCACAGACTTGGGTGGACTACAGGAGATGCCTCAAGTTGACAACATGCTAGAGATAGTCTCATGGGTACCTGGCAACATTTGAAGTGCTGTGCCAACCCCTCTCTCAAACTTCCAACGGGGCAAATTGGGTCTGGACCTAGTCTGCAGTCTCACATTACTCACCTGCTGAGGTCTATTTCCCTTTGTCCCTTCTGGCTCCCCATGGCTTCATCTATCTCTGCCATGTACGTTCCAGAACTTCTTTGCCTTATTAGAAATTGCTCCTCCCTCGAGTTCTCTGCTGGTATATTATTCTGTTTCTTGAATGAGTACTCATTCTCCCCTGGGTGCTTTCATCCTACACTGTGTACTGTGGACTAGGTGACTCTCGTTTCAACTGTGATTTCCAGTCTCCTTCAGACAGTCTTTGAAGTCATGGAATGAAAGAATCACATGCTAATGCACCACATTGCAATTCCACCAGAATGTTTTTACATGTGAAGTCCCTTTGTTCTAATCTAATTTTCATATGAAATATTGAACCTTAATTTTTTTAAAATTTATTTTTCAGTTTAAATTTAGATAAGAAACAAGGTTGCTTCACAAGTCAGTTCCAGGTCCCTCTCCCTTTCCCTCCCCTCCTCCCGTGCCCTCCCCTCAACCGCCCCATTATCCCCTCATTTCCTCAGGGAGGGTGGAGGCCCTCCATGGGGGTGTCCATAATCTGTCATTTCATACAGGGCAGGGCCTAGACCCTCCCCTAAGAGTTCAGGGTGAGAGTGCACCTCACATTGTTGGATGGGAGTCCAAAGTCCGTGTGTATACTCGGGATGAGTACCTAGGCCTCCTCACTGACACCCCCATTCAGGGGGTCTTGATCAGTCCCATGCTGGATTCCCAGGCTGATGCCTGGGATTCAAGAGCTAACCCTTGTCAGGTCAGCTGTTTCTGCAAGTTAAACCAGCCCAGTCTTAATCCCTTTGGTCATCAGTCCTCCCTCTCTGTTACTGGCTTTCTTGAGTTCAGCTCAGTACTTAACCGAGGGAGTCTGCCTCTGAATGAAGGTTCTGTTTCCCAGACTCTCTGCCCATGGGGTTGTAGGCTGGCACTCCCCAGATCTATGTCTAAAATCCATATATGAGAGAGTACATGCCATGTTTCTCTTTTTGTGACTGGGTTACCTCACTCAGGATGGTTTCTTCTAGTGTCATCCATTTGCCTGCAAATCTCAGGATTCCATTGTTTTTTTCTGCTGAATAGTACTCCATTGTGTAAATGTACCACATTTTCTCTATCCACTCTTCAGTTGAGGGACATCTAGGTTGCTTCCAAGTTCTGGTTATTACAAATAATGCTGCTATGAATATAGTGGAACAGACATCCTTGTTGTATGATGGGCATCTTTTGGATATATGAACCTTAATTTTAATATGTGTCTGTTTAGAATTCCTTCTTTTATGTCAAGTTTTTACATTTATTTCTTTATTGTGTGTGTGTGCATGTGTACGTATATTCAATATCCTGCGAGTTTGTCCTCTTGTCTCCTCGACTGTGATGGTTCTGGGGAAAAATTTAGGTCCTTCGGTTAGGAGACAAGTACCTTTACCTACTAGACTATCTCACTGGTCCATTAAATGGGAAATGTTTCCTTTAGGAGCACAATTAAGAAATTTCAGAAAATGTGGGGAAAAGGAGAAAAAATGACTACCAAAATTTCATTTTAATATTTTGTAATGCTGAGAAATTTTAGTTTTATAAGAATAGTTGCAAGCAAATGTCTTAGAGACATATATGTGATGTAATGTTATATAAACATTTTTATGTTATCACAAATGATAATAAGTGTTTGTAATTTTTCTTTCTGTGATGCTGCTTTTTTCTGCTTCTTCTAGCATAAGTAGTACTACAGCAATATCTTTGTACACAAAGATTTTTACCTAACTGAGTTTTTAGTCATTTGAATGATAAATTCTTCAAAGTGGATATTTGACTCAGACATAAATATTTAATATATATACATATATATATAATCACATATAATTAAGTTGCAACAGTGTTCTAATAATTTGCACATTTGTATTTTGTGCAACTAGACTTTACCATATTCCTGCTAAAATGCTTATTTAAAATTTCACTCCTTAATTACTTGCCCTTTAGTCCTACAAGAATATTGATGGTGTGTAAATAGATCTATAATGTATTCATTTTATAAAATATATGTGTATTAGTAGAAACCAAGTTGGTGACAAGGGCCTGCTTTTTACTAACAAAAGCATATTAATTTGGAAGCAGATAGTTGACAAGTAAAGATTTGAAGAGAAAACTTGATATATCTTTGAGGCCCGATGCCATCTGTTTGAGTTTGTGACACTATTTTGGTATGCCTTTCTCTGTAATTCCTCAGCAGAATAAGAAAATACCCTTTTTTTTTTTTTTTTTTGGTTTTACGAGACAGGGTTTCTCTGTTTGTTGGTCCAGCCTGGCCTTGAACTCACAGAGATCTACCTGCCTCTGCCTCCCGAGTGCTGGGATTAAAGGTGTGCACCACCAACGCCCGGCTTCAGAATAAGAAAATACTCTTAATTTCTTAATCTTTAGTAAGAAACAATTCCAGATGGGAGAAAGCAGTGTCTTTCTTTGCAGTTGGAGATTTACATACCCTTTAAGCAAACAAACATGCAAACAAACAGCCTTTTCCCAGGGCCAACTACATATGAACCTCTCCACTCTCCCTCGCTGTTTCTGTCTGTGGCCCAAGTGTGTATGAGGAGAATGTGCTTCTGGGGTGTGCAGGGTTGGCTCCAAGCCATAATTAAATTCTTCCTCATTCCCATAGAAGTCCTGTCCGTTTATAGAATAGATGTTTCTGTGCTTGTCAAGTCTCTTCAGAGTTCCAGGACTGATACTTTACAGAAAACAATCTACCCTGATTTCTGGAATCACTTTCTCCGGCTTCCTGAATTTCAGGTTAGAATGAAAGAGATAGTGGCTGGAGAACCTTAACTCATCTTTCTGTACTCTGGGCTTTAAGAAAATCAAAGCCCCTGAGAGTCCAGTCTGATAAGTTGTCAAGCACGAGTGAATGGAATAATGCTAAGCAAGGCAAGCTGCCTGCCAGTCTTGCGGTCAGCAGCCCAGCTCTGGCCTGATTACTTAAGTCCATGTTTTTCCTAAATCAGTCATGAACCAGCAATTATCAAGTTTTGCAATACTAGGCGAGACCCTTGAGAATAGCAAATTATTTGCAATGTTAAGTTGATAGCGTTTTTGAAAAGAAACAATTTGCCTTCTCTTGGGTTTCTCTGGGTTCTGGGCATAATCTGAGTTAGTATTATGGGCTTTGTCTGTAGAATTACATTCATCATCAAACACCATGTATTTGCTTTCTTTCTCCTAAAATGCTGTTAGAATGCGATGTGTTGATTTCATTTTCATTCATTTGTCTTAACTAAACCAACTTCAGCCAAAGGAGGGGCATGAAAATGTGGGAAAGAAGTCATGATGGAAATATAGGAATCAAGATTATTTTGTGTTGTCTAGTTTCTTCCAGCATGATATGAGATGACCTTCTGATAGCCTTTTCTTCTCCTGTAATAGGTTCTCCTTTGTAAATTGGCATTGTAGATCTCAGAGCAAGAAGGGACCTTGTGCAAAGTGTGCTGCTTTCTGAAGCTCATAGGAGTTCAAAGTCTCATCTCAGAATTGGTTGAGTAGAGATTTCTTACATGAAGGGTTAAAACAGGTGTAACACTACCAGTGCAGTGACTTCATCTTAGGGTCAGAAAATCATATCTTTTGCCAGTTGTTTTGAAGCCACATCAGGTTTTCTAACAACTTGTTCCTTGGGATGGATCCTCAGATAACAGTCCCCTTTTCTAGTTCATCTTTGAGGCTGTGCATTGCACTCAAGAGACCCATGTGACTGGTCCATCCATACACCACTGGTTCTTTTCTGGAGGAAGTCTTACTGAATACATCTTTAGCAGCATCTTTTTCTGAAGGCTCTCCAGTTATTACACAATAGCCATGATGAATGACCCCTTAAATTGGGTTTCCCAGAGGTGGTACTAGAGGGGCCTTTCAGGGTCCTCTAGAATCCTACTGCTGTCTTCTTCAACAGGTGTCACCTTTTGTTAAGTCTTTGTCCAATGAGCATGAGCCCCCTTCAGTACTGAGTTCTGACATTCTGAGGCTCTCAGATATCCTGATTACACCACTCTGTTCAGGCTCTTGGTGGAGGTTATATCCTCCCATCCTCTAGGTCATTGCCATCATTTATTTGGACACTGGTGTTTCAAATAAGTTTACCAAAGCTGCTGCTCAACACGGTGGGAATACTGTAGTGTGGTTTCCCAGATATAACTATTAGGCTGTGTGTGTGTGTGTGTGTGTGTGTGTGTGTGTGCAATTCTCATAAT